GATAATGTTTTTTTTCAGAGATATACCTGAAGGACTTGCCTGAGGCTGTTTTACAGTTAAGTTTTAAAAAAATGTTTTATTTTTAATTTTTAGCTACAGGATTTCACTCTTTTCACCCAGGCTGGAGTGCAGTGGCCTGGTCATCACTGTAGGCTTTAATTCCTGGGCTCAAGCAGTCCTCCTGCTTCAGCCTCCCAAGTAGCTAAGACTACAGGTGCATGGAACTATACCAAACTAATTATTTTTTTAGAGATGGGGTGTTACTATGTTGCCTAATTTGGCCTTGAACTTCTGGCCTCAAGTGGTTCTCTCACCTCAGTCTCCCAAAGTGCTGAGATTGTAGGCCTGACCCACTACACTTGGCTGGTTAATATTTTTTAGTAAGTAGAGGGACTACACTCTAAAGTTATAATTAAAAGTATAGTAATAAATCAGATAGTCATTTATTATTCATTTTTAATATATAATTGTTTTGTTATACTTTTATATGACTGGCAGTGCGGTAGGTTTGTTTATATCAATATCACTACAAGCACATGAGTAATGTGTTGCACTGTGACAATATGATGGCTATAGCATCACTAGGAGATAGGAATTTTTTGGCCCCATTATAATATAATGGGAGTACTGACATATATGTTGTTGACTAGAATGTTATTGTAAAGGGAATGACTATATATACTGGACTGCATTCTATAAATGTAAATATATACTTATATTTATAAGTGTTAAATCCTGGTGAAATTATTCAGTCTACTTTAATGCTAATATTTTTCTTGTTTAAAAAATTGCAGAAACATTTTTGGTATATTCATGTAGCTTTTCTTTTTCTTTTTTCTTTTTTTTTTTTGGAGATAGAGTCTCACTCTGTTGTCCAGGTTGGAGTGCCATGGCAACAGCCTAGCTCATAAAAACTTCAAACTCCTGAGCTCCAGCAGTCTTCCTAGCTCAGCCTCCCAGGTAGCTAGGATTTAGAAGAGCCTGCCCCAACACCTGACTAATTTTCCTATTTTTTGGTAGAGACAGGGTCTCGCTTTGCTTAGGCTGGTCTCAAACTGCTGAGCTCAAGTGATCCTCTTGTCTTGGTCTCCCAGAGTGCTAGGATTACAGGTGTGAGGCATTGCACTTGACTGATAAAAAGGCATGTGACATCTTTAATCACATTTAATTTTTAAAGGGAAAACTATTTCAGCAAATAAATATCAAATTCTTAAATATTGAACAGAAAAAGCCAGTCATTTTAGGAAAATGAAGATAGTCAACAATTGCATTGAAATATTATTAATCATTTGTCTATATTTTTGCTTTGTGTTCTCTTCCAGTTACTTTGTTTTGGTATAAGCTCCGTGATTTAATTGTGTTCTTCATCAGTAGCCTCATTTTTCTCTGCTCCACATTATTCTGTGCTGGTATGATATGGTTAGGAGGTACAGTTTATTTCTTTCTCATTTAAATTCTTCTATTAACGTTCATCTGAAAAAGTCATAATCTGTCATCTGTGAATGAAGTATTCCTGAATACCTCCTTCTATTTCCCCACCCAATGTCTTTCTGTATTTTAAGTATTTCATTGTCTTACAATCAGTCATGACCTTAAAAAGAAATGTATTGTTCATTTTGCATCCCCAGTGAATAGCACAAATGTTCTGGTATCATTTTGGTTGAAACTGCTGGTGTTTCTAGACTCTAAAAGTAAGAATTAAGACACTATGTTACTGAACAGATATTAGAAGACCTAATAATCAGTTCTAATTGTTAATACATAACAATAGATTAGGAAGAGGACTGGTATTTGGAATATTTTGCTGGAGATTCAAAATGTTGACCGTGGCAAGTCTCTGGAGTCTTGTAAATTTTCTCCTAAATTCAACTTAGTAAATTATATCATCTTTAAAATTTAGCATTTTTGTCCTATAGAAGGAATGAGAAAAGGTCAAAGGTGACTTTCTTAATACCATTTGAAGCACTTATTTTTGTTCTTGTATTTGGCACTAAGATATTCTTTCATATTTTATTAACCATTGGAGTTCTTTTTAAACTCTTTTCTATTAGAGATTAATTCTGGGGAAAAGGATAGTGTGTTAATTGTGTTTTAATTTGGTTACATTTTATTGAATTCATTTTTGTGCTTTCAAGTGAAAATTTTAAAAACCAGCCGAAAAAAAAGTCCTTGAGTCTACTCAGACTTCTGGTTTCAGAAGTATGGCAGACTAGGTCCTCTGATTGATGCTTTCATTGAAAATAATTAATAGGCTGGCACCTGTAGCTCAGCTTGAGGGCATTGGCTAATACACCTGAGCTGGTGGGTTCGAACCCAGTCCAGGCCTGCCAAACAACAATGACATCTACAATCAAAAAATACCTGGTCATTGTGGCGGGTGCCTGTAGTCCCAGCTACTTGGGAGGCTAAGGCAAGAGAATCACTTGGGCCCAGAGTTTGAGATTGCTGTGAGCTGTGATACCATGGCACTCTACTGAGGGTGACTAGTGATACTCTGTCTCAAAAATAAATAAATAAAATAATAATAATGCTGGATAACATATTTTAAGAATGCTTCCTTAAATTCGTTAATGAATAGGGAAATACAATGAAAATATAGGTCAAAAAATGGGTGAAGGAGGAATACCAGAGAGGCAAGTCACGAAGGGAAACCAGCTATTGTTTTGAGAGCATTTGCTGAATTTGGTGAATTGGAGGTTCTTATTCTTATAGCCATTAAGGTCTAAGGGGACAGGGACAAAGCCCAGCAACTGCCAAAGGTGAGGAGTCTAATAGAAAACACATAATTCACTCTACAGGGCTAATTCCTCAGTGTAAAGATGAACTAAGAATACAGCCTTTAACTTGATAAAAGGGTTTGTAAGAAAACCTATTTAATGGTAAAATGTTTTAGCATTTAATTTAAGATTAAGACAGGAGTTTCTGCTATCATCATATCTTTTCAATATAGTTTTAGATGTCCAATTCAGTCTAGTAAGACAAAAAAGAGAAATTGGTCATAAAACAATTGAAAAGGAAGAAATAAAACTCTATTTGATGATGATGATATAAGTAGAAAACTCTTGCTTGTTCCTTTTTATAGGAGACAGTGGGTGTTATTTGGAGATTTGTCTCTATTTCTGCCACCATCTGTGAGATATCCCCCAGAAAGAGTATCTATTCTGCCATTTTGTAACTGGAAACCTCCTAGTACTTTTATATATAAATAACAATATGAATAATAGTAAAATATGTATCTTTTGTCTTACTTTTAAAAACTTTAGATTACTTCATGTGACAGTGTTAATTTATTCAACACTTCTGTGTGCCAAATGTAAGATGGTAATATGAAGATTAGTAAAATATAGTTCCTTTCTCAAGGAGTTAATTTTTTCATGACATTTTCCCCACCCTTGCCTAATCATAAGAATTACTCTTAAAACAATGTAGACATCTACCACTCTGGAGATTGTGATTTATTATGGTAAGATCTAGAGTTGATGTTTTAAAACAAATGCTGAATATGATTTTGATCAGGAAAATGAATTATCATCATACATTAAGTTTCTCTGTGATTTCTTCTAACTTTCAATTTCTGTCTGGGCCAGCTATTTAAATGTGAACAGTGAAATTTCCAGGGCTTGTTAGGGAACTTGGCATTTCTCTAAAACATAAAACCGGGCTGAGCATGGTGGCTCACTCCTGTAATCCTAGGAGTCTGGGAGGCCAAGGCGGGTGGATTGCCTGAGCACACGAATTCGAGACTAGCCTGAGGCAGAGCGAGACCCTGTTTCTAAAACTATTTGAGCATTATGGCAGACACCTGTAGTCCCAGCTACTCAGGAGGCTGAGGCAAGAGAATCACTTGAGCCCAAGAGTTTAAGGTTGCTGTGAGCTATGATGATACCATTGGAGTCTACCAAGGGTGACATAGTGAGACTGTCTGGAAAAAAAAAAAAAACAACAAAAACATAAAACCTTGCAATCAATAAAGCTGTGAGAGTGAAAAATTTATTCATAATTTCCTTTGTGCCACTACAAAAGAGAAGTTTAATAGCATACTCAAGGTAGAAAGTGTCAGAGCTGCCATTCATGCTTTGGCAGCCTGACTTCATGGTTCATAGTCAGACCTGAACAGTTTCTCCTTTGGCACTGTACAGCGATACCACTAGGGATAGGGATTTTATGACTCAAAAGAGAATAGTCTTCTATTATTGTTGGACAGCTATTAAGATTTTCCTTAAAATGGCCCCAGATTCCTCCTCTATGTTTCTCACTATGGTCCTGTTCAGTCCTATAGAGCAGGAGCTAAACCAAATTCTTTTAGGTTCAGGTTTGGTCTAAAAAATATTGATTTCAGGTTTTTAAAAATACTTCTCTGTTGACCACAGTTGGTCCAGTCTCTGGTTTGCTTTGGGTCAGTACTAACTTGCTTAATTTCCTCTTTCATGTGTAATTGTTCACTTATTAGATGCAGTATCTTATGTGTTACAAGATAGTCTCCTTCCTCCCTGCCTCAGTCCAGAATATCATGAGTTCTTGTACAAGCCATATAACCTTTATGAGACTCCCTTTTCTCACTTGTGATTTAGGAGTAATAATACTAATTTATTGAATTGGTTTTAAGGTTAAATTAATGTAAGATTCTAAGTATTCAATGAAAGGTGGCTATTTTTGTTATCTTTGTTTTATCTAAAAGTATGTATTTTAAATATATTGCATGTATACAACTATATCTGAATACATTATCAGATTTCATATAAACTGAATTATTTTCCTTCAGTGTTCAAATCAAGGAAGAAACAGCTTAACTTGGTGAAATGACTTGCTTTTAGACAAACTTTTTAAATTGTATTTCTAATGATTCTCATGTTTTCTTAAATGCTTTATTGTTTGATTTATAAGATCAAAGCTATATTCTTTGGGAAGTGTTGATTAACTCTGAGAATTTTGTTTTCAAGCTTATAAGCATGTTGTAATTTGCAGTACTATTATAAAAGCAATGTTATTTCTATTTTCAGCATTGCAGGGGGTCGAATACTGTCAGTGATAAAGATGCAGCTGATTAAAGGCCATAACAGCAGGGATCCTTTTTATGAAGCAGTAGAGGAAGTTGCTGAGGATTTGGATTTGAGGATTAAAAATATTATCAATTCTCAACAAGGAGGTGTAGCTGTTAGCACCACTGACATCAGTCCTGCACGGGTAATGAGCTGCTTATTTTTTATTATCCTCCTATCCAAAACATTATCTGTTCTATTTATTGTAGATATGATTGATTATTTCTACTTATGTCAGAAAAGTGTGTTCTAAAATGATGTTGAAAATTTAAATTTCTCAATAGGATTATGTAGGATTATGTTCAACATGGGTAAATCATAACATCTTTGGGCCAAATTGTCTATATTTGTTAAAGTGAGGCATTGGATAATCGCCAGTATCCCTTGAAGGATATTAAGGTATTTTGTGCTATTTTTCAGTAATTATTCTTACAAAGCAATTACTTTCCAATTTATTCAGTTATAAAATAGGAGCCTGGTTTCTCTGGTTCTGACCTCAATACTAAACACTATAGGACAGCAAAAGCCCTGGTAGAAATTATTTTCGTTAGCAATTTACTTTTTTTTTAATGTCTATGAGATCTTATTTTCTACCTCCATTACCACTCTACTGCAACTGAATTTTCCCCATACCTGCAACCTTTTAACTATATGTTCCCAGAACATTTGCCCCTAGCTTGATATTTTTACACAGATGTTCAAATACATGTAATAGATTCTAACCTATAGTATCAAAGGGGAAATTAACTATGTTTTTTACCCTAGAACAGAATTTTGGAGTATGTGGTATAAACCATTTGTTGTATTTTATTCAGTTAATGTAACGGCATCTTTTCATTAGGTGTATATATGATAGCCAGTATGTAAAGAAAGTCTTTTGCATAATTTTTATTATTTAATCACTCATTCATTTACTCACAGCCCTCTAGGATTATTTTAAACTGTTTTCCAATAACAATGCTTCTTAGATTTACTTTGTTTTTAGATTTTTCACAGGAGAGATTCTGGGATGTTACCCTGTGTATTTAATGGTTGTTGACCTTCCTGATGACTAGCTTGGCTCAAATGACAACCAGGTTATTAATGTAAGCATCAATCAGGAACTGTCACAATTTCAGATAATTAAGAGCATCACTCTCTCCCCTTCTCTGGCAGAAAAAATAAAGATACAAACAACCTGGTTTTTAGTTTGTGTTTTCAACCAAATCAGAAATCTTTAAAAAACACAATCAAATAATACTCAATGAATTTAAAATTAAACAATATGGAATTCCCTGGTACTAATGAAAAATGTGTTAAGTACCAGATTGTGATAGGCAATTTTTAATAACTTCAGTGAAGCTATATGTTATAGTTCACCTGGTAGCTTTAGTCTGCCAAGCAGAGATGAAGGCCAAGAACATACTGATGAAAGGTGAGAATACTTGTGCAGCTGCAATGGATGTCCTAGAAAGGCAGCTTTGATATCTAGGCACAATGTCTAACAACCCTGTGGGTTTGGCATTATCATTGCCCCTAATATGCCAGTGAGTTTAACTTAAGCATAGTGAGGTAAAACACCTTCCCCAGAGTTATACAATACATACAACTAGCCAGAAATGCCTTCAGAGTTTATGATCATATGTATCTGTATGTAATATATTATTATAAATGTCTTTCTATTCATCTGTATAATCACTAGATTATTCCAGCTATCCCTATTTAACTTGCTTTTTTATCTCTACTATTACTATTTCAGTTTGTCCCCTTTCATTTCTAAACTAGTTTATTATAGTATTTAATTTGCGGCCCTCTCTCCAGCTTTGATAACATCCTTACCCTGTAATAAATATATTTAACATATTGCTATCATTGACATTTTTTAAAAATCCAAACAGTCTCATTTTATTTCCTTGCTTAATTAAGCCAGAGATTTTACATCTGTAACAGATTGACTTAGAATTACTTTGCATGGTATACAAAGCTTTCTCAGGCTTTTACCTTGTTCTTCAGCCATGTCATACTACCTGGTCCCTGACAGTGCCATGCTCTCTCCCACTTCTGTGTGTCTCTTCCTGTGGAGCCATCTTTGAGTCCAGGGTCATTGATTGTTCTCTTTTGTGTGCTCTCACAGCACCATGTATACTCTTATCAGAAATAGCACTTAACATTCTGTAATGCAATTATTTGGTTACTTATTTTTTTGAGGTTGAGACTTAAGGTGGGTTCTTCAAAGGCAGTGGTTTTCACCTTCATAATTTTAACTTCAAACATAGTGCTTAGGACAGAATATATGCTTATCAATGATTACTGCATGAATGAATGTCAGCTACTTTTTCATTTTTGCATTTGATTAGATCTTTTATGAGGTTGGTATTCAGATCCTTAGAACCCATTCCTTTTTGGTATAAAAGAAAAAATATAGAGAGGTTAAGTCATGGGGCTTAGGTCCCTTGGCTAGATAGTGGCTAAATTTTTGTGATTCAAAGCCTAATATTACTTTGACTAGAACCTAATGTTTTCTTTAAAAGACATCTATTTTTATGAATCTGGATTTTGATAAGCTTGATTATATAATTGCTTAAGGGAGAAATGTCCATATGCCTTACAGCCGCTTCTCTTTAGCAATTTCTTTTGTTATTTCCACAACAGAGGAATGAGAACAGTGGCACATGAAATGGGAGAATGTGCCCAATTCACACAGCAGGGTAATTATTGTATTCGCTTAAAAGTATTTTTTCTTCTAGCCAAAATCTCATGCCATAAACCATGGCACTGCATATTGTGGCAGAGATACTGTGAAGACTTTACTAGTTCTTTTGGATGAAGAAGCAGCCAGTGCTCCTACCAAAAACAAAGCAGAGCTTTTATATGATGATGAAAACACAACTTATCATAATGGAATTTCTATTCTTACACTTTTTAGGTAAGTAATGAGAAAGTTATATATATAAATATTAATTATAGAGAATTGTAAAAAATGTGTATGCTTATGATAGGAAACTGGAAATTATAGACAAATGTGAAGAGACAAAATCAGGTGAAGGTAGATTGAACATTTGAAGGTAAAGAGAATATATATAAAAGAGATAATATTTTTTGAGAGTATGGCAAATGATTTTGATTTCAGTATTATTTTTTGTTTTGAAAAATACAGCAGAACCTTTAGAGTCAACCACTTCATGAAGTTGACCTAATTTTCATAGACCAGACATGTACATACTAGTAAAGCAGGCCTACTTCCTTATGTTGACCACCTCCATATGTTGACCAGTTTGTTATAGTCCCTTGGGTAGTCAACTTAAAGAAGTCTTACTGGCTTGGCACCTGTGGCTCAAGTGGCTAAGGCGCCAGCCACATACACCTAAGGTGGCGGGTTTGAATCCAGCCCGGGCCCACCAAACAACAATGATGGCTGCAACCAAGAAAAAAAAATAGCCAGGCATTTTGGCGGGCGCCTGTGGTCCCAGCAACTTGGGAGGCGGAGGCAGGAGACTAGCTTGAGCCGAGGAGTTGGAGGTTGCTGTGAGCTATGCCATGGTGCTCTACCCAGGGGGACAGCTTGAGGCTCTGTCACAAAGAAAAAAAAAGTCTTACTGTATTTGCTGTGCTATGTGTTGAGAACCTTGCTTACTGTTTTCGGTCAAATTATCTCAGCCCATACAACTGTCTCTTTTAATAGTATCCTAACTTTATCAGTAAATAATTAGAAATTTAAGAGACATTAAATAATTTGTCCAAGAGAGCTATGTTAGCAAATAGCAAGGGTGTCTCTCTAAAGCCTGAGGCCTATGCTCTAAGTGCTGCTATTCTGCCAATGAATAGGAGAGAGCATATAGGCCAGATTAACATCATATTGACATTTACTAGCTCTTCCTCACGTTTGAAGAAAAATATTTACTAAATTAATGCTGGCATAAAGTGTAAAATGTTTGATACTGCCTTATTCTATTCAGGCTGCCATAACAAAATATCATAAACTGGGCAGCTTAACACATAGAAATGTATTTTTTGGGTAGGCTGGAAGTCTGAGATTAGGGTGCCTGCATGATTGGGTTCTGGTCAGGGCTTTTTCTTGGGTTGCAGGTGACTACCCTTTGCTTGTGCTTAGATGAGCTTTCCTTGGTGTGTGCACATGGAGAGAGAGATGTCTGTTTCTCTCTCCCTCTCTCTTTTTCTCTTATTCTCTCTCTTTTCCTCCTGTGATAAGGTCAATAGCCCTATTGGATTAGGATTCCACTCAAATACAATCACATTTGGGGATTAAGGCTTCAACATATACCACATATTTTGGGAATACAATGGAGTAGATAGCAGATGTTCTCCAGTTTTAACAAGTTAGTTCAGTTATTGAGTAGTTGATACTTTTAGTTAAGGGAATATTCACTTTAGGAAACATTAAAATTTTTAGAGCAACCATTTTGTGTTGTATTTAGTACGTTGTAGAGAATTTTCATAAAATCATTCCACTCTTCGATCTTTCTACTGGAGATACTTTTCATAAAATCATTCCACTTTTCAATCTCTCTACTGGAGATACTTTTTAGAAAGTTGTTATATACCTATTTTGACTACATAGTTTTTAAATAACAGACATTTATTTCCCATAATTCTGAAGACTGGAAGTCTAAGATCAAAGTACCAACAGATTCATTGCCTGGTGAGGGCCTGTTTCTCACAGATGATGCCTTCTTGCTGCATCTTCACATGGCTGCAAAGAGAAAGGGCAAACAATACCAAATGGCTCCCTCAGGTCCTCTCATAAGGACACTGATTCTATTCTAGAGGGCAGAGCCCTTATGACTGAATCACCTTTTAAAGGCTCCACCTCTTAATACTACAGATAGTCCCCAACTAATCATGGTTTTATGTAATGATTTTTCAACTTTATAATGATATGAAAACTATACACAGTCAGTAGAAACTGTATTTTGAATTTTCTTCTATTTTATTGTAAATTTATTTCATATGCAAAAAGCTAGCATGGTTTCTTTCAGTGAGTGGATGCCTCAGATAACCAATTCAAGGAAGATCATGTAGTCCAACTTAAACTAATGTCCTTGCGGAAACATTGGTGGCACATATTGAGGCCCTTATTTCCAGTGAAGAGCAAGAGCAAGAACCCTGGCTGAATTTTCATGGGTGGCTCCAATAGAGCTACTGATAATCAATCTTGCTTTCAGGAGTGCAAAATGCAAAAGAGCGTATTTTGAATTTTAAATTTGGATCTTTTTCCAAGCTGGCTATATGTGGTGTGATACTCTCACACAATGCTGGGCAGTGGCAGCCTGCTGCTGCTCTCAGTCTGCCATGCAACCACGAGAATACACAATTGATACTGTACAGAGTATTGTGTTGCCAGATGATTTGCCCTACTAATATTGTAATGGGCTAATTCTAACTAATTCCATGTTTATGGTAGGCTATGCTAAGTGATGTTTACTGGATGTATTAAATACATTTTTGACTTAATGATACTTTCACCTTACAGGTTTACTGTGATATAACCCCATAGTGAATTGAACAGCGTCTGCAATAGAATTGGGGAATTAATTTCAGCATGAATTTTGGAGGGGGACAAGCATTCAAACCACAACAATAACTTTTTGCCCCTTTTTTTGAACATAGATCTCCTACCCAAGTGAGTAAGTCATTGATGGAACCGTTAAGAGAACGTATCCATAAATCGATACAAGAGAAAAAAATTAAGGTATAACTTAATGTACTGCCATGAAAATGGTAAACATTGTTTTATTTTTAGAAGAAACAAATAAAAACTGAGCTAGCACTGTAAATGTACATGTATATGGCACAGTAGGAATTAAATGGAAAACAAGTTGTGACATACAGAGAGTTTCCTTTTGTACACTCTTAACTAATTTGTTTCTGGCTTATTTAATCCACTGGACCTAAAAAAAGGGAAGGTATAAGCAGTTGCTATTATAAATGTTGAAAAAATATCTGCTGAATGAATGAAGGGGAAAATGAAGAAGACATGAATTTCTCATTTATATTTCTAATATTTTAAACTGTATCTTGAGAAACTATGTAATTATAAATTTGTTCCTGTGTAAAGGTACACATATAATTGTATAATGTCAGAATATAATTAATTTTAGTTTGAGGTAATGTTTCATATTGCTCTTGTCTAGACTTGTTATTTATATTTTCATTTACTTTGAACTAAGTTTTCCTGTCTTCATATGGAACGTTTGTGCCTATAAGTAGTCAATAATGCTTTTCTTCATGCATTTAAACTTTTCTTGGTCTTAGTTTTAAAAAAAAAATGTGGTTTTAACTTATTCATTTATTCAATGTATTTTTGAATGTCTACTATGTGCCAAACACTCTTGTATGGTTGAGAATTTATTGAAAATTATATAATATTATTATCCTTAAATTATGAAATAATTATTCATCTTGATACAACAGAAAACTGTAACTTTTGTATGCCCTTTATTTTCCCATTTGGAAATTTAGTTCAAAGTAGGAAAATTTTTAGTTAACCACCTGTTTGATCTATATACCATAAACCTGTTTAGTTTATTTATTAATATATCTTATCTTTCTATTGGTTTTTAGTAGTTGTTAGTAATTAGTGTGATACATCATTGAGGTTTTTTTTTAAAGGGGAGCCTCTCATTCTGGAAAACAGTGGCACAGGATAGCTCACTGTTGCCTCAAACTCCTGAATTCTTCCACCTCAGCCTCCCAAATAGCTGGGGCTACAGCCATGTGCCATGAAGCCTGACTAACTTTTTTTTTTTTTTTAAATAAATGTTGTTTATTTTTATTTTTTAAAAAGAGATTGGGTCTTGCCATGTTGCCTAGGCTAATTTCAAACTCCTAGCCTCAAACAGTCCTGCATTATTGTGATCATAGTGTGAGCTGCAATACTCAGCCATTGTGAAATTTTTTTAAATTTTAATTTCAAGATGTTAAGTGAGTACAAATGTTTTTGTTACATGGATAGCTTTTATACTGCTTATGTCATGGCTATCAGCATGACCATCACCCTAATAGTATTCACTATACCGGTTACGTAGGTTTTTACTGATCCTTTTTTCTCCTGGCTTTCCAATGATTTTTACTTCTCTCTGTGCCCATGTGTGCCCATAGATTAGTTTCAAATTATTGGAGAGTATATGTGGTGTTTGATTTTTTATTCTTGAGATATTTGCTTCACTTAGGATAATGGTTTCCACTTCCATCAAAATTGCTGCAAAAGACATTAATTCTTCTTTTTTTTTTTAGAAAGAGTCTCATTTTGTTGCCCTTGGTAGAGTGCTGTGCCATCACAGCTCACAGCAACCTCCAGCTCTTGGGCTTAGGCGATTCTCTTGCCGTAGCCTCCCAAGTAGCTGGGACTACAGGCGCCCGCTACAACGCCCAGTTATTTTTTGTTGCAGTTTGGCTGGGGCCTGGTTTGAACCTGCCACCCTCGGTATATGGGGTCAGTGCCCTACCCACTGAGCCACAGGTTCCACCTAGACATTAATTCATTTTTTATGGCTGAGTAGTATTCCGTGGTATATGTGTATATTAAATATATGCTCATGATTTTTCTGTGAATAAAATTTGTTAACTTTTTGTTACATTACTGTGAGTATTTATAGTAAAGTGGTAAGATTTTTTTTTTTTTTAAAAGGCATCCATCTATCCTTTGGACTAGACTAGAAGCAAATGTATTTATATAAATTCTTTAATTTTTTTCCTTGCTATGGATAGTAACAAGCTTTACTATTTTGATTTTAAAATAGTTGAGATATTTTCTTAGAACTAAGTAAATCAAAATGAAAAAGCCTATCTGAAGAATGAGGAGTGTTTTTTTAAGAAATTGTTAAGAGTCAACTAATTACTATACAATATATAGAGAAATTTAGAAAGTTAGCAAATAGAAGAGAGAGCATCTAATTCAGTCTTATTTACAGATATGGAAACCAAAATTCTGAGAAAGTACCTTATACAAAATCTCATAACTACCACAAAATATTTTTAACAGTTTGCAAAAATATGATTAAATACTAATGTGATTATAATTACATTGCTTTTGTTACTTAGCAGTGCAGCTGGCTTTGTCTACGCTGCTCTGAAACTAAATGTCAATAGAGGAAGAAAAGAATTGGTTTTTATGTTTTACAGTACTCTATAACAGCAAAATATGGACATAAGTAGTTTCTCTGTACAGCTGTACCATTCCCAGAGAATTTGTTGGAATCACAAAAAATGTTGCTAATATTTACTACCAAGTAACTATAGAAAAGTAGTTTAGCAGCTTTTTGCCTTATTACTCTGTTACTTTTGCTCCTTACCATACAGTTCTTTTTTTCTTAGTCATGGAAACAGTATACAATCACAACAGCAGAGACCTTAGAATTTCGATGTATTTGATTGTTAAATATCCATGTCATTTTATGGGGCAAATTAATTCTTAGGTTTTAATTTCCTCATTCATATATAGAAATAGGTGCTCTTGATGAAAAAATTTTATGAAACGGCTTCGAAACTTTATTAACATACTCATTTTAGGTCCTCAACTTTTATTTCCTACTGTAGGATATTAGGAAACTTGTGTATGATGGTCAAATAAATTTTCTTGTGAAGGAAACAGAAGATTCTTCTTGAACTTTCATGGTTTTTATAGAGCCTTTAGATAGTATCTTCTACTCATTTCTTACCCCCAATTTCCAAGCCCTTTAAATAAGTTATTAAGTCTCCTTATACCTTTCTTTAAAAGATTTTTTAAAGGAGATACTTATCTCCTAAAATCCTTGTTAATCAGCTTTGATATATATTGCACACCAGATATAACTAAAAGGTGTTTCCTCATTTTGAATTTAATTTTTTTAACCATATTATATATGTATCAGAATAATCATTATTTATTCACTTAAACAGTTTAAGTGACTATTCAGGAATATTGGGACAGTAAAAATCAGCACTTAATGTGAAAAACTAGACTGGCTGTAACTCCATTACTTTTGTAAGCACTCAGGCAGTCCAATGCTTATGGTATTAGAAAATTCTTAGTTAGATATTCAAATTTAACTGCTAGGACAGTGTTTTTCAACCTTTTTAAAAAAAATCTCATGGCACACTTGAACCTATAGTTAAAATTCTGTGGCACACTTAAGTTGATTAAAAAATATATATATACTTAACTATGTTTTGAACTTCTTTCAAAAATAATTTAATTAATGGTCTTTAAAATTTTTCACAGCACACCTAAGATACTCTAACGTCACACTGGTTGAAAGTCACTGCCCTAGAGTGTTGGAAAACTCGGAGTACCTCCTAATTAAAGTGATGGATTGGGTTTAACTCACAGAATGTTCTTCCCTTGGTACTTAAAATGAATATAAAATAATAAAAACTAAAAAATAATCACCAAGTGCAAACAACAAAGAATATGTAATCAGATGTGCTGCATTTCAAGAGTGATGGCCAAGAAAAGAAACCAGAAGATTTCAGACTGAAAAGGCACAATGCATTAGCAACTTAATGTGGTCCTACTTTCCAGACGTAGTACTAGTAAGTTAGCAAAATTCTGAGAATTGGCCCAGCACCTGTGGCTCAAGCGGCTAAGGCTCCAACCACATACACCTAAGGTGGCGGGTTTGAATCCAGCCTGGGCTTGCCAAACAACAATGATGGCTGCAAGCAAAAAATAGCCAGGCGTTGTGGCGGGTGCCTGTGGTCCCAGCTACTTGGGAGGCTGAGGCAGTAAACTCGCTTGAGCACAGGCGTTGGAGGTTGCTGTGAGCTGCGATGGCACAGCACTCTACCCAGGGCTTGAGGCTCTGTCTCAAAAAAAAAAAAAAATTCTGAGAATTACCAGTAATATTTTCAAAGCTGAGGCGCCAACTAAGTGTGTATCCTTATTATTTTCCTTTCTTGTCAGAAAAATAGAAGTGGCAACTGAATAGTAATGCGGACAAAATGTGGAAGATGAACCTTGAGATTTACATAGTGAGAGAAGTGAAGGCTCTAGTGCTTTATACTGAATTGGGGAAATTTTCCAAATGGTCTCCTCCCATTTTAATGAAACGTAATACCTAAATAGATGGAGTGAAATTTCTTATAGCATATATAACATGTAATAAACTCTTGGAAGAGCATGCAAAATGTAGAAATTCTTTTAGAATACTTGATTCCTCAGATGAGCTCTCCTCCTACCTCTGCTATTCCTCAGGCTATGGAAAATTGAGGGATAACAAAATACATAGCCTTAAAAATGAACTCTCAGGAGAAAATAAAATGCTTTCAGAAAGGGAGGAACAGAATCAAGTAGTCAGTCACAGACTTGGAGACTTTGTTTCTAAGCGAGATATAATAGGTCATGGCAAAACACCATTTCTGCTACAGTAATAAAAGACAGATAAACTGGGAAAAGTATATTTTAAAGACAAAAGGGAGCTATGTAATCAAAGGAGTTGAAATAAACTAAAAATTTGGAAAGGATAAAGTCATTCTCAGGAGCAGTCTATTATCGGCTGTTTTTTTCCACTGGGTTTTTTTTTTTTTGCCATTTTTGGGTATAAATTGAGGGTTGATGTTGGCCCACTGAAGCTTAAAAATAAAAGGTAAATTGTAAATTTTCAGCTACAATTATTCCTCAAAAGATGAAAGCCAGTATGAACTCTATCAAGGGAGAGAGAAACCAACAAAACTTTTGGGTATCTTGAGAGGCTGGTAACAGTATAGAAATTT